TGTCTCCTGGCTGTTCTGGTTGAAAGAATGAATCTTTTATCACTATTGTGATATACACTGATCTTGTTACCTCTCCCACTGATTATTTGGAAAATCTTGATTCAAGGGCTATGCAGGTCTTCCAAATACTGATGTATTTTATTACATAATATTTTTAAAATCACATTTTAACAGCACCATCAATCTCAACAGAAAGTGCTTTAAATATCAGGAAGCTGTCAAGTTCATAGTTGCATATACAAATTTTACAAAATACTAATTTTCACTTGAAAGCTCAAATTTTATCCTGGGCAACAAATACTGTCAATTGTTGCCCTTGAAGTGACAGGCTCATTTTGTTCATATTCAAGAAAATGTCTACCCATTACTCAAGTCTGAATAGCCACAGGTGTCTGTCAATCATTCTTTCAAATCCAAATGATGCTCCAAGAATGAAATGGCTAGTTCAACTGGAAACTCAGTTGCTCAAGTGCTTTTCCTGGCGACAACTACTGTATTTCAGTGCGCAGTGCAAGGGTGTTATGTCTAGTTCACATTTTGCCTGGTATGTCCTCGGGTTGAAATTTAACAACAATAATTGTTATTGCTCCATCAAGGCCATTCTCAAGTGACCCTGACCTTTATTTTATTTTAAAGGAGAGTATATGGCAGTGAAGAGTGCAATGATTACTAGTACAGATTGAGGCCATTGTCTTTGATTTGTCTTTAAGAACCAGCAGCTTTACCTATTTTTCGCACCATCAGTGAATATATCAACACAATGAAAGGTATATAGTGAATGAATGTAATGAAAATAATTCTAACCTTGCAAAATCTGTGAAGAGGTCTTGAGACTGCTAGCAGCACTACTCTACTGATATCTTGTCTGTTGGGGGCCCTGTGTTGGGCTGTGAACCCCAAGATCAGTAGTTTGAAACCAGCAGCTACTCCTTGAGACAGAAGACTAGGCTTTTTACTAGTGGAAAGAGTTATAGCCTTTGAAATTCACAGAGACAGTTCTACCCTGTTTTTGTTGATGTCTATTAGTAAATTTCCTGGATAACATTCAACATCTGATGCTCAAGTCAGCTTCTACTTAGGTCTCTTGCTTCTGTGCTCTTTCCATCAGAATAGATATTGCAGATCCTGAATATTTACAGGCTTTAAAAAATGGTAGATTTTTGTAACAACGTGAAGCAATCAATAATGAAAGTAGCACATGCACTTGAAAATAAAAATTCATATACTTCCCCCTGCCATCCACTACCAAAGGTAACCCCCGTTTTCCATTGCTTGTAACGTTTTCCTGTGGATCTTTTCCGTAATTCCAATGACCCTTTTACCTGAATTTTCTCATTTGTCAACTTTAAGCAGTTGACCCACATAAAATATGAGACATTTAGCTTATTTGTATTATTGTTCTTCACTTACACAATAGTTTATTTTCATATATACATACATACACACATATTGTTTCTATCTTTTCTTTTGCTGTTTGTCACTTTACTGTTGATTTCGTTTAAACTCACCACAGGTTAAGAGCAGACACCTGCTCTCTGCAGGCAGATGTGTCCCATAGAAAGGGAGGGGCAGGGGGAAGTTTGAGCTGCTCAAGACTAATTTCTGCTCTCAAAGTTAATACTTAAGACAACTCATGGCTTTTCCCTTGTGGAGAGTATGTGAGGACCAGGATATGTCCAAGAATGCCACAAAACTGATGCACCTCTGCTTGGAAAAGTGAAGCAGAGGAAGAAGTGGTGCCTTCTCTCTACCAGTAATCACATAACTTCTTCCATTGGCAGTTAGAGAAATTGAGGCCTAAGAAGGACAAGTGGCCTACCCAGTGTTATTTAGTTAAGCACATGTGGTTGTCTTTGATGTTCTACTTGTATTTTATTCTGAGATAACAACATGTGTTAGGCTGGGTTGACTAGATAAACATATCCGGAGACACTGATGTATGTATAAGAAAGAGCTTTATATCAAGAAGTAATTATATAACAAGAATACATCCCAGCCCAGTCCAACTCAAGTCCATAAGTCTGATATTAGTCCATAAGTCCCTCTTCAAATTCACGCAGTCACATGCAACGATGCAGAATGCAAGAAGAGTACAGACTAGTGGGTGCAAAGTTGTGTGGCTTGAAGGTTGGTGGGAACATGATGGGGCACTTGGGCCGCTCTCAGGGTGGCCAGCAAGCAGGAGGGTCAAGGCAGAGAGAGAGAGGGGAGTTCCCTGGGCCCTCCCCAAGAGGCACCATCAGGCTGTCACCTGATTGACAGGCTGGATACCACCCCTCCATCTTCTTGTATCTTCAAGTTAACATAAAATGAGGAAACTACCACAGACTGGCATGGGTGAGCATTTTTCTGTATGACACCTTCATAATTCTTAGCACTGAAAAATTATATTTAATTTATTATGAATTAATCAATTTACTTATTCATGTGTAAAATAAACTATTTTTAAAAATAAACTTTGCATTTATGTTTAATTCGTGGACCTTTACACATTTTGTTTGCTTTGAAAGATGTACATTACATCCTGAAATGAAACACGAAAGCCCTAAGAGTATTATTTGAGCTTCCATTTCCATTTAAAGTGGTTGAACTGAAAAAAGATGCAGACTCAGAATGTTGTTTACCAAATAGAGAAAAGGAGACCATCTTTTCTGGTCCAGTTATCTAAATTATGTATAATATATGACTAAGATTTAGTTTCCATGTCAGTTATTGATTTGAAATCAAGTAATTTGGCATCGGAAGTGTTGACAGCAGGCGTATCCACACTTTATTCCCTCATATCTAGAAGGCAGTTTGATGTAGATAGTTGGATGTAGTATTTGTCACAGATTCTGTGTACTTTGTAAATTCCTGACATTGCATTGAGTGTAATTCAGTTTTCTGTATGGTAAAATGTGGGAAAATACATTCTCCCTAATAATATCTTGGAGACAATAGGCTGTGAGCACTTACTTTGTGAAATTCGCTTTGGTTTCCTTGCATGAGTTCCTTACATACATTGCCAGGCATGTAACATATTGGACCTGAATCTAGCAAGTGGGTATGTTTTCTTCAACATTCATCGACATTCTTCAACATTCATTTTTTCTCTAGGAGGTGCTTCCAAGGAAAGAGTGTAAATGCAGTTGGATCCAAATGTAGTGATTTATTAACTTTTGTATTTGTAGCTTTTGAGACTATATTGAGACATGATACAAACTTAAATATTAAGATATTGAGTGGATTATTATTATTATTATATTGATAGATTATGCAGAGGAGGTTGAAACATACATTTCATGTGTTAATAAAGGAATCAATATATTTTACTCCATAACAATTGTGAATATTGAATATATGAACTTTTTACAGACAATACTTTGGGGAAAATAAATAGGAAGAGGTGTTTTTTTTGATGGAATGTGTCTACCAAATTCTTTTAGGTATCCTTGGCCACAGCAGAGAGACTCACTCAAAGTGGATTCTAGATTTCCTTGGGGAGAGATTCAACAGATTCAACCTCACACAGTAATTTTAGCCTTCATCCTCAAATGCCAAATTGGCTCAACTCTATGGAATTATTTGGGTTTTCAGTGAGGTATGCAAAGAGATGGTGAGTTTCGCAGAAATACTTTCTTAGGGACTATCTACCACAAAACAGTCATTTAGCTTGCCCATGACTTCTAACCAGTTGTGGGTGATGATGGTGGAGGGCAAGAGATGGCAGCAGTTTTGTTGTTGGTGATAACTAACAGCATCAGCTAGAGCTTAATTTGAAATAGGGAAATACCGTCACACCAAAATATTTGATCACTTCAGTGGCTCCCTATTAGTGAATCATTCCTCAGGGCTAAGATATGTGTCATGGTAAAAACTGCAGTCTGTGTAGCCTATTAGAAACCACTAACATGGATGGGATGGCGCATTAGATTAATCAGCCACCAGTTAGTTAGCAGGTAAGTGTGTAACCACTGTAGCACCAGGCTCCTTAGACAGACAATCCCACTGCAGTCTATGTGATTCTAACTCATGGCAACCCTATCAGACACAGAAAAATGGTTCCACAGGGCTTCCAAAAGAGACTGACTCCTATTTCACTCTCTGGTGGGTTGAACCCCTCAAGCTTGCAGTTAGCTTAGTCCACTGAGCTACCAGGGCTCCTAGAGGGACCATCGTATAGCATATTTTGTTAGAAAACAGGGAAATCATGTATTCCAGATTGAAGCACTGTGTATGTGGGAAGCAAGTCTATGAGGAACCCCACTGGTGTGCATCAAGACACTGGGGTTGCAATATGAGGTTACTGGATGTCTAGATTTTGGTAAAAGACACCAGCCAATACTCTTTAAAGCTTTAAGGAAAGAAAAGAATGACCAGAGGTCCTGATTTTTAACAAATTTTCCCGCGTCCCGTGGCGTTTTTTAAAAGTCCCGATTTTTGGAAAGAATGCACGACAAACTAGGGTATATGGTTTTCGGCTGCCATGTGGCTATTTCGTCAGGATATGAGTTTTATCAATGGTGTCCCACTTTTGTCCCGCTTTACCAATGTTAGAATCTGGTCACCTGTGAGGAGAAGAGCAGAGTACTGAGAACTTGGAAATGCATTATTAAGCAGATCCTTAGATCTGCTAAGTACCAGCTGGAGGGGTCTCCTGTTCTGTTATTCTTGGGCACCACGGGTGAGCTAGGAGCTGCTTGAACTTTAAAACAAAACTCCTAAATGTAGGAGGAAGAGGATCCATGAAAGGTCAGTTTCTCTCTCTCTCTCTCTCTCTCTTACACACACACACACACACACACACACACATGAAGAGGATCCCATGAAAGGTCAGTTTCTCTTACACACACACACACACACACACACACACACACACCACGTACACACACACACGTCTTATTACTGGAACCTTTCTCCACCCCTCTTCATTTTGAGCTGTAGTTCCCTAACCACCTCCTTGTGCTCCCGGCAAAAACAATCATACCGACTTAGTACCTAAAATCACCAGACCCAACCTCTTCATTTTCTTATCAGAGTTTATTGTTATACATATGAGGTACCATGCTACTATCAGAATTATATCCAGGTTTTTTATTTTAAAAAACTCAGAGAGAAAAATGTTTCCAGTAGTTTTCATTCAATGTGAATGACAAGAATATTACAGCTATAAACATTGAAACAAACATTTCATTTCTTCCTGAGGAAGTTTCATATTTTAAGCAATGAAAGGGGGGTAGGATTCCATACAAAGCTAGTTCTGAATTACATCATCTCTCATTCTTTTCTCATCTGCATTTATGTTACTCTCAGAATAGTACAATAACCAGCTGGAATAGATAATGTAGAAAGTATGCATGTTCTCTAGGATTTGGTACTGTCTCCAACATAAATGGAGTGACCAAAGATTCTTGCAAAGATTTGGTGCACTAAGCAGTATAATACATGTATTTGTGAGTGATTATGTTTTTTGCATCATCTCTTGCTTTTTCACCTTTTATTATACAAGGCTCTGTTTTTTACATTGTTTTTAAAGAATGTGCTGTCCAGTTTACCTGTTTACATAAATAAAATTATGCTAGAAAGCTGCTTTGTTTATAAGTTTAAAAGCACACCTCCATATATGTATGTCTTTCTTGTAGCAATAATAAAGTGGTTAAAACGATAACATGGCTTTGTTGCAACTGCTGGGGCCTCTTCTTATCATCCGTGACCCTCCTCCTTAAGGTGGTGAAGATGACTGGCTGATCATTTCCTAGCACGTTGCGTACGAGCTGCTTAAAAAGAGTCCCGCAATTACTGGGAAGACTGAGTTTACCAGACTTATCCAAATAACGCTGATTTTGCTTTTACAGGAGGAAACTTAATGGCTGGCCCTCTAATACTTTCTACTAATTGCTTAAAAATTAGTGTGTTCTTTGGGTGAATAAATTTAAAAAATAAACTTCATGAACAATGATTAAGTATGTTAAAATCGTACAGTAACCGAGAGGGTGGATAATTGGTAAAGTTTAGTACTATGCTTGCATAATGACAATCACTTTAGATTTTCCATATAGCTCTTAATTTTCTCTTTTGGTTACATTTTATAATGACTTAACTCCTATAAACAGTGAAAAATAAGGATGCCTTATTCGTTCCTCTTTTGAGTACTGCATTAGTCATCTAAATCATTGAATATTTAATTGTACATATTCCAACAACTCCGCCTTCCTCAGCTTTGTACTTCTTGCATTTAATTCCATTGGCGATCCATAAGTTTACCTATGTTCTGTACTCTCCCATGAGAATGATATAAGAAAGAGTCTAAAAATGGGACTCTGCCTGTTTCCCTTTTTCTGCCTTGTACTAAAAATATCATTGCAAAAAATCAGATTATGAATTGTACATATTTTTGTTATAAATCTCTACTTTACACAGCTTCATTTTTAATGACCTTAAAAATGTAGTTTTTCTATCATTTGAAGTAAACAGCTTAAACACATCATCTAGGTAACCTCTCCTTATTTTTATTTAGGAGGTTTGTCTGGGGAACAAGAAAAAAGCTACTCAGAGTTAAAAGTCAACCAGTTTTTGGAAATGACACACACCTCAGAGTCTAAGCATGCATTTCTATAGAATCAGTGAGGAATAATAGATTTGTAGTTCATGGCAAGTAGAGATAGAATTGTCAGTGATGTATCTTTCAAATCTGTGGTCATCCAACTGATTCCAATTCGCCTGACCCTATAGGGAAGAGTAGAACTGACCCCCTAGGTTTTTTAAGGCTTGTGATATTTAGACTCTCATATCTTTGTCCCACAGAGTGGCTGGTGGGTTTGAACTACCAGCTTTGAGTTAGCAGCACAGTGCTTTAACCACCGTGCCACAAGGGCTACTTGATATCTTTAAACACTTACTATTTCTCCCTTTCTTTCAGAGATGGCAGGGAGTACATTTTATTTATTTATTTTCTTGTATATCCAGTGTATTTCTATTGCCATCCAACAACTCTATGGTATATATTTCAGTGTAACAATTATGTTATGACAGAGGCATTAGTAATTTTTCCATAATTGCACCAGACTGTATAATCTGGCAAGTCACTTTTATATGATAGCGCTTAGCTTTTGTTTTTGTTTTTGGTGGAGATAAAGCTTATAGGTAACTTTTCCACTTTCTGCTTTGGTAAAATTATAATTTACAATTTTTTTCCTCAATTCTACAGTGGATTTGAATGTGGGCAGGCATTTTCAATGGTGTTGTGCTTTTGACATTTTATGTTTATGTGGTATTTATTTTACTTCTTGTTTTGAGGGTAATTTTATAGCATCAAATAATAAGAAAATATTGTACAGGCAAAGAGTGGTCTAAAAATCTACAGAGACACAATTTAATTGACATATAAAAGTGTAAATATTACTATGAAATGGACCAGTTCTGCATTTGAATGTGATTGATACTGGTTGCTATTATTGATTTCCACGTGGGTGCACAGTAGTCTACAATGATCCCATCCCATAGGCTCAGATATGGGGTGAAAGGAAGGTGGTAAGCCTCAAGGCTTGTAATAGATATCTTTCTTTCTTTCTTTTTTTAACCAGCTGTATACCAGCACACGGAAGGAACTTTGTTCTTCATTGCCTTTTGACGAGGTATATTGTTCCACAGCCTTTCGGTAGCTCCAGGAAGCTTTGGAAAAGGTGAGCATTCCATGGAAGATGACTGCTCAAGACGTTTGCTCTCAGTGCTATCTCACTTTCTGCAGCTCCTGTCTCAGCCAGGATGGCAGGGGCTGTCCCAGTTTGTGCAGCAGTTTTGCAAGTTCCACATTCCGGTCTCGATAGTAGCTTGACAGAAATGCTCTGCTCTGAGATGGGAGGACAATATAGAGATACACTTGACTTTGTTTATTAGAATAGATTTCATAGTATTTAAATCTGATCAAGACCTTCACATCTGGATCAAAGTTGGTACTAGGCATGTCAACTAATAAGCACAATATAAACACAAACCGAGTTTGCTTTTTAAAATATGCTCTATGCACATGCACTATTTTTTTCTAGGGAAAGAGCTGTAGAATTAAACATGTCATTCATTTGATTACAGAATTAAATGTTAAAATGAATAGAATGAGTTGCTAGAAACATAGCTGTAACAGCTGATTAAGCCAATGATTATGTTCTACCAAAGTCTTCCTAGTTTGGAGAGAGAGCTTGGTTATTAAATAACAAAATATTCCTTTATAATCATTGCTTTATAGCTAGAGTTAGGGACCAATAAAACACCTCTTCAGAGGTCTTTTTAGTGATATACAAAGTAATCTGCTGCCATTGAATTGATCCCAACTCATGAGGGCCCAATAGGACAGAGGAGAATTGCACCCTTTGGATTTCCATGACTGTAAATCTTTATAGGAATAGATCACCTCACCTTTCTCCCTGGGAATACCTGGTGGGTTCAAACTGCCACCTGGTAAGTCAGTATCTTATTATTGCCTTTAAGAAAAATATTTTAATAAGTGCAACTGCCTACAATTGGAAGAAGCTGTGCAGTGGGATGGTGTGTCCTGTCTGCAGAAAGTCACCCATCTATCATTTGCGTGACCACTGTCAGGAATGTGGCGGAGTGAGGGGATTCAGTTAACTGTACTTTCCAAACTATTCTGAGACTTTTAGTTGGTTTGGACCTTAAGCAACAAGTCCAGATGGAAGAAGCACACCAGCCTGTGTGATCATGAGGTGTCAACAGAATCAGATAACAGGTATATGAAGACTACAAACAAAGAAAAAAGTTCATATTGTTGAGAATGAGGGGTCTTGGAGCAGAGACCCCAAGCCCATTTGTAGAAAATTAGACATCCCCTCACAGAAGAGTCACAAGGAAGGGATGAGTGAATAAGGGCACAGTAAAACAATGATGAAACATAACAATATCTCTCTGCTTCTTTGACGCTTCTTCATCCCCCACTATCATGACTCCAGTCCTGCCTTTCAGTTCTGGCTAGACCGGACCATGGTCACTGGTATAAATAAGAGCTCTTGACACACAGAATCCAGGACAGATAAACACCTCAGGAACAAAAGTGGGAATATCGATTCCACGAGGGTGGGGGGAAGGTGAGGGGAGAAAGGAGGAACCGATTGCAATGGGGGATGAACAACAAACATGGGTGAAGGGAGACAGCAGATGGTATAAGATATGGAAATAATAATTTATAATTTATCAAGGGGTCATCAGGGTGAGCGGGTGGGGGAGTGAGGGAACAAGGAGGTGCTGATACCAAGGGCTCAAATAGAAGATATTTTGAAAAGGATGATGGCAACATATGTACAAATGTTCTTGATACAATTGATGTATGGATTGTTATAAGCTGTTACAATGATTTATATAAAACCAAAATTTAAAAATATAATTCCCTGTGCTATTTTTGACATGTTCTATCATGCACACCATTTTAATGATATGATAAAAAGGCTTATATTGTGTTTGAGATACTTGATCATTGGAAAGACTGATTATCTGTGTTCTAGTATATTTTGGTTAAGGGACAATTCAAACATTCTACATCTATGCGTCCCTGCTTGACCTCTCTCACTTAGTCCCCCTCTCACATTAGTTGTCAGATCACTGGCCCCGCTAGCATACTTAGGCTAGAGAAACTTAAGTTATAGTTTCCATTAACCAGCCCCTCCGCCCCTGCCCTTGTCTCCCCATTGTGGGGGCCTGATTAGTCTTTGTCTCCTTTTCTCCCCTGTATTTTCTATTAACACCACTCAGCATTATTCCTCTTTACGATGGAGGGCCTACTTGGAATACCATCAGGGTGGGGCTACAGACCTACTTCCTTCCTAATATTTTCCAGTTGTATAAGTTCAATATCCTAACTGACTTCACAGTTCAACCCCCTGGGAGCCACTGGTGTTTAGATTTAACCTCAAAACATTGAGGATAACTTCAGCCTTGCCTGAACATACTTGCTTTTTGGATGTTACTTGGAATTGCCTGGTTGTCTATATTGGTGCTGTCTGTGTACCCAAATCTTGTCTCCCACCTTGTGTGTATTTGTGTCTCGAGCAGAGTTATTCTCAAACATGTCCACAGTCAAGTTCCCCTGTCTTCCTCTTGCGCTTCTGCTCTCTCACGGCAGTACAACTGCTCTCAGATTTGTACATGTCCAATTTGAAAGCCTACTGTGTTCAGGCCGAACATTAGTAGGGCAGAACTGTGATCGTATGATCATTTACAAGAGGGGATATTTTAAATGGTCAGAGCAAAGATAACATGTATACTATTGATAATAGCCTGCTGGCTAGTCCGGGAAAACCATGATGAATAATTTAATTAGAATTAATAATAATAATGCACACCTTGATACTAAAACAAATAAGATATCAAGAAGGAATCAATAGGAAATTCCATATCAGTTGGTTTATGGGACTATTGATAAACTAACCAATTAAGAATAGCTTTTGATTTAGAGAAATGATACATTTACTGGCAATACTTTAAGACATACCTGCTATTGCCATAACATATTCCGATAAACAAAGGCAAAATGAAAACAGGCCAATATCATTCCTAACTGACCAGGATCAAGGGCATCCTATGATGTTATGGTCATCATTTTGAGGAGGAGTATTAGCATTTTTCTGTAGGAGGAGAGGGAAGCATCATGCGGACAGTATTGAGTACTCAAATCCATTCTATACATTTTGATTGCATCATGTCTGTGAAACCTCATTCATTGTCTTTTCTGTGGACACTCTTTGCACAAAGCCAGCTACTTTGCTCCCACAGATAAACCTAGCATATGTTATATAGTAATTTTTTTGAGCGATAAGAATTGAAATCCCCCAGAAAGTTGTTCAATTTTTGTATCTTCTCTTCTACCAAACTTAGTGTCAATGTCCCAGTATAGCTATTCTAGATAGGAGTAAAGTAGCATCCCTAGAATGGTATTTTACAATATATTTTAAAAATTTTAGATTTTATAGACATATAGGTAAATAGTTTTTACATAAAAAATGTTATTGAAATAATGTCTTCCTCCATTCTTGATGCTGCATTATTTTTCATATAATCCAGTTTCTCTGACTATTTATCCAGCATACAAATTCAATAAGCATGGTGAGAGGATACAACACACCTTTCCTGATTTTAAACCATGCAGCATTCCCTTGTTCTGTTCCCACAACTTCCTCCTGATCCATGTACAGGCTCTGCATGAGCACCATTAATTGTTCTGGGATTCCCCTTCTCAGTGCTAACCATTTTTGTGATCCATGCATACTACATATTGTATAGCCAATGATTAAACATTTTTTCTGGTAGACTCTGCCTTTTTGCCAAGATCCACCTGACATCTGCCATGATATATATCCCTTGATCTACTTGCTCTTCTAAATCTGGCCTGATCATTTGGCAGCAACTATTGTTGGATGATCTTCAGCAAAATTTTACTTGCAGGTGTTATCAGTGATATTGTTCTATAATTTGAGCATTCTGTTGGGTCACCTTTCTTTGGAATGGGTACAAATATGGATCTCTTTCCGCCAGTTAGCCTACTAGCTGTCTTCCAAATTTCCTGGCATAACTGCTGGTGGACCTGTAGGTATGTACAGCCATTAAGGAAATCAATTTGGTGATTTCTAAAGCAGATGGCGATCTACCACAGGACCCAGCAATCGCCCTACGGGGCATATATACCCAGAAGAGGCAAGAAACAAACCACAGCCAGACATCTGTGCTCCAATGTTATTGTGGCACAGTTCACAATTTCAAGGAGTTGGAAACAATCCGAATTTCCATCAACAGACGAATGGATCAAAAAACTGTGGTACATACATACAATGGAGCACTATGCAAATGAACGCACGCAGCACATTGCCACATGGGAAGAACTGGAGGAAATCATGCTAAATGAAGTAAGCCAAGCACAAAAGGACAAGTACAATATGAGTCCACTGAGGTAAGCTTAAAAACAAAACAAAACAAAAAAAAACGGGGCATAGGGGAAAAGCTACTATATACATACATCCCTGGGGTGAGGTCCAGCAACTATGGCAGGGGTCAAACCCAATCCAAGGATACATATGGCAGCCAACTAATAAGAGGGGGAAAGAAAGAGAGAAAAAAAAGACATGGGTGTGGGAGGGGGGGGAAGCAGGGCATTAGCCCACCCATGGGGAGGGTATTGTTTATATCTCCACAGGAGAGGGAGAGAGAGACCAGGCTTCAACCTGAGGCACCAAGACATGAATACAACATACTGGCATGTACCAGGGAATCAATAGAGAAGTCTGCAGGGCCAGCCCCAATCCCAACTATGGACACCTGTGCCCCCTCAGAAGAATGCACTTCAGAGGACAGCACTGGGGCTACGGCTTGGGGAGAGGGGCGCGTCTGATTAGAGCACACGGGAGAAAAGAAAAGGGATGGAGAGGGAGGGGAGGACATCCTGGTCCACCAAGCCCTGAGGACATATTCCTGCTGGGAGCAGACAATGCACAGAGAGGACCATAGGGCCGGCCACACCACGAGACAGAACGTCCCTCACTAAACTATAGCGCTGCGGGGAACAATACTGGAGACACAGTGCGGGAATTGTGCATAATCTGATTCTCTCACACCGGGGCGAAACACTAAGGGCATGCAACAGAGCAGCAAGCGGAGCAAAGTAATGAAATCCCCGGGGAATACCAAAAATAGGCTTTGTAGACACAGTGTGGCACCCCATCAGACTCACTGGAAATCACTCGTAAAGGCCAACAAACAGAACTTGAACTATTTATAGGCCTTTCTATTTTTGCCAGTAGCTTTCTTTTTTTGTTGTTTTGTTGGTCTTGACTTCCTTTGTTGTTTTATTTGGCTTTGCCAGAATTTTGTGCTTACTAATGTATCTGCATGTCTAGATAAGATAGGCAGGATACATAATTTGGAGATGAAAAGAACGGGACTCAAGTACTCTCTCAACACAAGAACACTTTGTTCTAACAGCATTCTGTGATGCTCACCTTCTCCACATGATAGCTGAAGACAAAATGTGTGCATAAGTAAATGTGGTGAAGAAAGCTGATGGTGCCCGGCTATCCAAAGATATAGTGTCTGGGATCTTAAAGGTTTGAAGAGAAACAAGCAGACATCTAGCTGAGGAGCAACAAAGCCCATATGGAAGACGCACAGCAGCCTGTATGATCATGAGGTGTTGATGGGATCAGGGATCAGGCATCAAAGACCCAAAACAAAATCATACCCAAGGTGAATTTTGGGGGGTGGGGGCATGGAGTGGAGACCCAATGCCCATCTGTAGTCAATTGGACATCCCCCTACAGAGGGGTCACATGGAAGAAATGAGCCAGTCAGGGTGCAGTATAGCACTGATGAAACACAACTTTCCTCTAGTTCTTTGGTGTTTCCTTCCTGCCACTATCATGACCTCGGTTCTACCTGACAAATCAGGTCTGTAACCTTGCGAGCCAGCAACCTATCATCTGACCTGCCAATTTGGATTTGCCAGGCTTTGTCCTCACACTTGTGAAGAGACTCCTCCAAGCTGATGGTTCACCCATGATTTGGGGGTTTGCCAGCCTCTTCAATAGTGTGATCCTTTTCCTTGGTAATTCATGAATTCTGTGAGATGTTGCAGTGAATTATAAAACTCTTTTGGGAGGGAGAATACTGAGGGAAAGGTGAGTTGTTTAAATTTGAAATGTTTAAATTTGAGATATAATTGATGTATGGGTTGTTATAAGAGCTGTAAAAGCCCCCAATAAAATGATCTTTTAATAAAAAAATTTCCTGGCATAAATGAATGAGTGCTTCCAGTGCTTCATTAGCTTGTGGAAACATTTCAGTTGGTATACCACCAACCCCCAGGTCCTTGTTTCAGGCTAATGTTTTCAGTGCAGCTGGAACTTCTTTCTTTTTTACTGTTGGTTATTGCTCATATGCTGCCTCCTAAAATTGTTTAATGTCTACTAGTTCTTTTTGGTACAGTGACTGTATATTCTTTCCATCTTCTTTTAATGCCTTCTTCCACTCAATATTTTGTCCATAGAATCTTTTAATATTGCAACTTGAGGCTTGATTTTTTTTCCTGAGTTCTTTCAGTTTAAGATACTCTGAGCATGTTCTTCCTTTTTGGTTTTCTAAGTCTTTGCACATTCATTATAATACTTTACTTTGCCTTTGTGAACATCCCTTTAAAATATTCAATTTAGCTCTTTGACATCATCATTTCTTCCATTTGCCTTAGCTACTCTATGATTAAGAGCAAGTTGCAGAGTCTCTTCTAACATCCATTTTGATCGTTTATTCCTTTCCTGTTTTTTAAATGACCTCTTGCTTCTTGTATAATATTCTTGTTGTCATCCCACAGATCATCAGGTTTTCTGTCATTAATGTATCAAATCTTTTCTTGAGATATTCTTAGAATTTGGGTAGGGTGTACTCAAGGTTGTATTTTGACTCTTGTGGACTTGTTTTAATTTTCTTCAACTTCAATTTCAACTTACATATGAACAATGGATGCTCTGTTCCGCAGTCAGCCCCTGGCCTGGTTTTAGTGGCCAGTGTTTCCGGCATCTCTTCCCAGAGATGTACTTAATTTGATTTCTGTGTATTCCAATTAGAGAAGTCCATGTGTTGTGTTGTTGAAAAAAGGTATTTGTGATGAAGATGCAATTGGTTTTGCAAAATTATATCATGTGATCTCCAGCTTAGTTTTGATCACCGAGACCATATTTTCCAACTACTTTTCATTCCTCTTCATTTCTAACTTTTATATTCCAATAGCTAATAATTATCAATGCATCTTGATTGCACCTTTGATCAATTTCAGACAGAAGACATTGATAGAATTTATCAATTTCTTCATCACTAGCTTTCTTGGTTGGTACATGTGGTAGTTATATAATCTGTTGTCAAATTGAGGATTAAGAATGAAGGGGTGGAGTCTAGGTTGTCAATCATTGTGTAGCCAATGAGGCCTCTGTGTGGGCATGGCTTTCTCCTGAGGACTCTGGGAATTCCTGTATTCCTCCTTGGAGGTGGGAGACACTCTCTCTGGGCTCACTCCCTGAGAGACTCTACTGACAAGACACATAGAACTACACTAGTGCCTTGAGCTGGAGCATCCACATGGAGACCCCTGTCAGTGCTGAGATGCTTACACCACCACTGGATCCACAAAACTTCCCACCTACTGGCCTGTGATCTTCCTGCATTTGGTGTCATTGCATGTGTTGTGTGAGTCTGAAGAGGAATTTATAGACTGGTATGGGGCATTTGGTTTAATATTGGACTTATGCTCTTGGACTAGACTGGGCTGGGATGCTTTCGTAATATCTAATTGCTCTTGTATATAAAGCTTTTTCTAATATATATGTGAGTGTCTATGAATTTGTTTCTGTAGTCAACCCAGACTAACACAGTACATACGTTTGAATAACAGTTGTATTCATTGGATTTCCTTGTATAGGGATAGACATTGTCCAATCACATAAGTATTGTACTTCAAGATAGATCTTAGATGATGAGTGCACAGCCATTCCTCTTGGGGTGTCTTCCCTTCATAGTCAACAATATGATTTTCTCGTTCGAAATAGCCCAAACAAGTTCATTTCAGCTCACTCAGGTCTAGAATATCAATCTTTATGCATTCCATTTCGTTTCCGACAAGTTCCACTTTTCCTAGATTCATACTTTTTACATTCCAAGTTCCGATTATTCCCACCCCCCACCGGATGTTTCTCCTCATTTTGAGTTGTGCCCAATCAGCAACTGAAGGTCTTGAATTTTTGTACTCCCCCAGGTTTATTCCATCCACGTCATTATGGTCAACTTTACTTTGAGAAGGCAGCTCTTCCTTAGATAGACTGAGTGACTTTCTGAAAATGTTTTCTTCCTATTCATTGGCTTTTCAGTAACTGATAATCATTAGATACTGTTCTTAGGGTTTTCATTGGCTAATTCCTCAGAAGCAGACAGCCTATTCCTTCTACATAGTCCGTTCTTAGTCTGGAAGCTCTGCAGAAATCTGTTTACTTTGAGTGACACTGCTGGTATTTGAAATACCAGTGACATACAAGCCACCACAGTACAACACACTGACAGACAAGCAACCTATAGATATTGAAATTCAAATGTCAGTCCTAATCCAGACTTTTAAGTTTAAGGCTGAGTTTTGTTTGTTTTTTTAAATCATTTTCTTGGTGGCTCTTACAGCTCTTATAACAATCCATACATACATTGTGTCAAGCACATTTGCACATATGTTGCCATCATCCTTTTCAAAACATTTTCTTCTACTCGAGCCTTGATATCAGCTCATTTATTTTCCTCCCCTACCCACCCTCATGAACCCTTGATAAGTTATAGATTATTATTTTTCATATCTTACACTGTCTGCTATCTCCCTGCACCCATGTTTCTGTTGTTCATCAATCACCCTGGGTGTGGGGGGTGTTATGCGTAGATCATTGTGATTGGTTTCCCTCTTTCTCCCCCCACCTTCCCCCTACCCTCATGATTTTGCAACTCCCATTATTTCTCTTGAAGGGTTTATCTGTTCTGAATTCTCCGTGTTGAGAGCTTTTATCTGTACCAGTGTACATGTTCTGGTCTAGCCGAATTTGTAAGGTAGAACTGGGATCATGATAGTGGGGGGAGGAAGCATTAAAGAACTAGGGGAATGTTGTGTGTTCCATTGTTATGCTGCACCCTGGCTGTCTCATTCTTTCCTTGTGACCCTTCTGTGAGGGAATGTCCAACTGTCTACAGATGGGCTTTGGGTTTCCACTCCGCTGCCTCCCCCATTTGTATCAATTTGATTGTTTGTTTTGGGTTTTCTAATGCCTGATATCTGATCCCGTTGACACCTCATGATCACACAGGCTGGTGTGCTTCTTCCATGTGGGCATTGTTGCTTCCCCACTAGATGACTAATTATTTATCTTCGAGCCTTTAAGACCCCAGATGCTGTAACTTTTAATAGCCAGCACCATCAGCTTTCTTCACATTTGCTTATGCACCCATTTTGTCTTCAGTGATCATGTTGGGAAGGTGAGCATCAAAGAATGCCAGGTTATTAGAACAAAGTATTCTTGCATTGAGGGAGGACATGAGTGGGGGCCCAATGTCCATCTGCTACCTTAATACTTAACATATACATATATGTACATAGATATATGTCCCTATTTTATATATAAATATATTTACATATGTACATGCCTGTATTTACACCTATGTAAATGTACTTTGTAAGGCTGAATTTTTTACAAAACAACTTCGATAAGAAATTAGGTGTTTTCCTTTATCGACTGGCTTCCTTCGCGTGTGCTTTTCAGGTCCATACTTACATCCGAATCCATTGGAGGGTATTTTCTTCCTTTGCTCTTCCCAAGGCATTTTGTTTTACCTTCCTCTAGTAACTGACACCAAAAGCCTTTGTGAGAATCAAATCTAAAAAGGAAAGAATGCAAACAATATGCAAAAAATCTATCAAAATTTATTTTTCAAGCAATTTAAAAGTCATGATGCCCAATGACATACACATTTCTACTTGGATATCATTAATCTATAAGTAGGGAAATTCGCATAAATTTTGACTACATCCCTTTGCATAAAGTCCTTTGGCATACTTTTGAATTCTCAGCCCATCTGTTAGATTAGTGAGTCTGCCAAGTTCTTAATGGAAAAATTGTCAGATGAAGGTCTCCTATTAATAGAAATTAATAAACTCACTCTCTTCATTTGAGAAGAGAAAAATGTATAAACTTCAAACCGACTCCTTTACAGTTTAAAAGTGGCAGGGCAGGTCGCTTCTACCCTTGTCTACGGATGGTGATATGACTTGAAATATACAATATAGAGCAATAGGGAAAGGGTTTTGGTGTGTCACGGTAGGATTAAGTATTCATTCTCTAGCTAGAATCCTTAGGGGTACAGTGGGTTAAACATTTGGCTGCTTCCTCCAAGGTCATCGGTTCAAACCCGACCAGGTGCTTCATGGAAGAAAGATGAGGCTGTCTGCTCTCAAAGATTTACAGCCCCAGGGAACAGTTTTACTTACTGTATCTTATATAGGTCACTGTGAGTTGGAAAGAAATGAGCCCTGGTGCCACAGCGGGTTATGCACGAGGCTGCTAACCACAGGCCAGAAATTCAGAACCACAGGTCAGATGTTCAAAGCTACCAGCTTCTCTGCCTTTTCCTCTTATTTCTTTCTGGGTATGTTTATACTTTTGTTCATGGTAGGTGAATAAACCGGTAATATTTATGCTTACATATAAAGGAAAAATAACAGTCCGCAAAATAACTCTTTCACATTTCTTTGTTCTCTAATGATTGAGTTTCTAAATGGTCTCTTGCATCAGAAAAGGTTATTTATATCTCTTTCTTCCTTTTGTTTATAATCCATAATTTTTTTTGAATTCTACTTCCAACCAGAAAGTGGAGCAGAAAATTCTCTGCTGGCCAACCACAATTCAATTAGCTCTTTCAGGGTGCAAAGAAATCTCTGATATCTAACAATGAGAAAAGTGGGCTGCCTCTGGCTCTCCACACCCTCCGGTGAATGGAGGTGTAAATAGCCATTCATTCAGTGCTCTCAGTGACTGGTTGTGCTGTCCCTCCAAATCCCTCAGGTTTCAATAAGTCTGACAAAAGGGCAGACCATGTAGTAATACTGTACATTATGGGAGCCTAATGAATGGGGGCTGAAGCACCTGGTTCCCTGTGGCTCCTGGGTGCCCATAAAGGGTGCTGGCACACAGCTGGCAGGAGCTGGAATCAGCCACCTGGCCTTAGCACTTAGCTCCAGCAGAAGCTCTGATCCCCTAAAGTCTCCAGAAACTAAATCAGCTGTGAGGCTAGACTGGGACTCTTCTTTCTTTCTTCTTGTAGTAGTAAACCACCAGCACTGTTGTAAGAGGGAGGAACGAACCCTAATACCCTTATCCCCTGATGACCTCAAGAAGCCAGCTGTAGGACAAGGCTCTTGAGAAAAATCAGGGCCAGTTTAGCGTGTGTGTGTGTGTGTGTGTGTGTGTGTGTGTGTGTGTGTTTTCTTTTGTTATGTTGATAAACCACCAGCAGAGAGATACAGGATGCAAGAGGCAGGCGGGGAATAACCCTTTGCTGATCCTCACACACTCATGGACACACTGTGTGTATCCCTGGGTGTGACCTTGTAAGCACACATCAGTGAATGAGAAAGAGAAAACAGCTACTGGTTCTGGCATGGGTGCTTGTGGGGATGTACATGTGAGTGTGTGTGGTTTCCAGTCATTTGGTAGTCAGCTTTGTTTTTCATTTATGTGCATTTTTGTGCTGTTGTTCTTTTTTTTTTTTTTAATTTTATTTTTTCTGATTCCTTTCTTGCTCTACCCGATGAAGTCAACAGTCCCCAGTGTCCTAGCCACATTCATCCATCCAACAGCTACCACTAGTGGGGAGAAACACACGGTCTACTCTACTACTTGATCTTAGAGAAACACAATTTCAGTTCACACGAAGTTCCAGGAGAAATGAAGTTAAAACGTAACCGACTTTCTCCCTGTGGGTTTGAAGTCCCTTCTTATGTGCTCTTGTACAGCTCTGGACAAAGATCTGCTAAGTGTCCTCAAATGAAAATAACCTATATGCCCATCAACTGGTGAATTGGTAAACAAATGGTCATCTATCCGTATAAAGGATAATAATCAATAAAAAACCCCAATGATGGATACCTCTAGCAGCGTAGAGGAGTCATAATAAGCACCAAGTTAAGGGAAAGAAACCAGATCACTGGTTCCCAGGGGCAAAGGGAAATTATTGACATGATAAACTTTGGATTGGTGAAAACATTCTATATCTTCAGTGTAGCGATGTATATATTTATCAAAAAAAAACTCCACATATTTGTCAAATCTGAATATATGAAATGGATGATTTTAATATACGCAAATTATACATAAAAATCACACTTGAGAAATCACAGTGTGATTTAATGCATGCATTATGTGTGTGTGTCTGTGATTTGCCGAGTTGGTGCAGTCTGTAGGCAGTTCATCTTGTGCAGTGTGTAGTTGACAAGAGCCCTGTGAAAAGAATCCAGACTTGCATTTCTGCCTCAGTACTGCTTTGAGGATCAGAGACACTGAAGGGTTAATCACATCCAATTTATGCAAAACCTGTTTCTCATCAAGATTAAAGCAGTGTAGTGAGATCAGAAAACAAAATGATATAGCTTTATCTTGTTTACATCCGTGTTTGAATAAGAAAGGTAACTGAATAAATTACTTCCATATGCAGAAATGTAAGAAAATCATTAATAAATAATTAATATAGGGGTAGAAAGTGTACTGTACATGAAGTCTGGGAAGCAAATACATTTCTGGAGTCTGTTACCGATGCAGTATATTCCAATAACATCTTGCTATTAATAATTTCCACAATTGAATCCCAAGTCATTTATAAAATCTTCAACTGGCAAAAACCAGAATCCAAACCAGTTATTAATTTTTTCTAACATACAACTCAACATACACATAATTGGAGTATACATACTACTTACGTTAAAATGAAGGGTCTTTTAAGAAAATGTCTTCTAAGCAATACACAGATTTTTTTGTTATATGTTTTTCAATATATGAAACCCAGGATTGATGAACCTATAGGGACAGCAAGCAGAATAAGAGTTTCTGGGGGTACAATGGGGGCAGTGGCGGTGGTGGGTAAAAGGGAGCTGATGTCAAGGAGTTCATGAAAGAAAAGAATGTTTTGAAACTGATTGTGATAGCAATTGTACAATACTGTTTGACATGATTGAACTATGGAAGAATCTGTAGTGAGTCTGAATAAAGTGGCTTTGAGAAAAAAGGGAATTGAAAGAAAAAGGAGTTTTTCTGCCATTTCTGCTGATTTGTTAAATCTTATGCAGCGGGGTGTCGTGCAGGGGCCTTAAACAGATGCCTGTGTGTCTGGCATGGAACCCCAGGCAGTGTCTGTCAGCAAGGGGCTGAGAAGGAAGGGGAGGCGTCTACTTCCCAAATGGCCTCTGGCCTTGGCTAGCGAATGTCTCAGACCGAAAGTGAAGGGGTGTTGTTGATGAAACAACGTATGAGTCTGAGGACATACGAGCTCAGGTGAAGGAGCTTGAAGGTACTTCAAAAGGTCTCCTGTCTGTGTCTATTCAGGCAGTAGCAGTGCTCCTCCAAATAGACAAACAAACAAACAGATAAACAAATAGCCTCCAAACCACTGATGGCTGGTGGAACACCAAGGACACAACCTTCCTATGCGGTTCAGCGTCGCCTTTAAGGCTTTCAGACAGTGAGCATTTAGGAAAATGTCATTTGCAGTTTAGTATTTGTATCTCCGCCTATTCTGGAAGTAGGCTTTTCCTACTTAGCTTATCATTCTGTGCCCCAAATCATACACATAATAGTTATTCATGCAATACTTTGTTAAAGAGTAAAGCACGTAAGGCATCGGGCTTTAAGCTTATGTGGAATATCACGTGGAGACAGCAAGGAATAGCAGGAAGAGACTTGTTCACAGAAATATTAAGATATCCAAGATTCAGCAAGCGACTGATAACATTTCTATATTAATGAAAATGTGACAATCTTACCCTTGGTCAGAGAAAGTCTCGGAAATATTCAGATCACCCTTAAGTATGTTTTAAATGACGTGATAGTGAAATAGCATTTCCATGGGGGCAATATTTGTTTGCATATAAACCAAACCCTGTCTCTTCCATTGAGTCCGTTCCCACTCATGGTGATGTTGTTGGACTCGGTAGAATTTCCCCTTGCGTCCCGGGGGCTCTGATGGTCTCATCTTTCTCCCTTAATTGCACGTAGAGCAAGTAAATTTCAAACCCTACACAATCGTGTTTTAATAAGAGGCAAGCTAACTCCTTCCTTCCTTCCTTCCTTCCTTCCTTCCTTCCTTCCTTCCTTCCTTCCTTCCTTCCTTCCTTCCTTCCTTCCTTCCT